ATCTTGTACGTAACCTGGGGACTGCCTGTAGTCATATTTAGGTGCCAAAGCAGACGATAAGAGCCTATGGACATATGGCCCAGACTGTGCATTTGGAGCTTTATGGGAAATCTGCCCCTACGTCAGAGTTAGTACTTTGGCATTCAGCATTTAGCTTTCATGTATAAATCTTGTTGGGTAAAATACCCAACTTTATACAAACATTCTTCAAAAAATGGCTTTGAGATATTTAAAGGAGCAGGCAATTTTAGATTGTAGTGGTGTGAAGTGTTATTAACCTCCTCTATAAAGCACTAGAAGATTTACCCAACATTGTTTGGGTCCTTAACTGATTTTTATTTTTTGGAAAGATAAAATGGACATGTATATACTTCATTTAAATAATTGTTTTGGGCTGACACTGAGGATAGGGGTTCAGTATGCAGGCTGTCCTAGGAAGAGGGGACTACTCCAGTCCTTTCACCACAGTAGCTTGGGGCAGGCGAGAAGTGCCTCTCTATGGTCACTGCAACTCCAGCAGCCATAGCCAAGGTAGGGGTGCATGTCCCTTGATTGGGGCAAGTCCAGGTTCATCTGCCCCCTACACTCTCCAGCTGGAGTAAGGAATGCAGAAAACTGCGCACTTTTCTCTAAGATCCCTGGAAGAAGGGTGCAAGACAGCAATGCTCTTGCACATATTGGAGAGAGGATGGAAGCCTCAGCTCCCTTCACACACACACACACACACACACACACACACACACACACACACACACACACTCCCTCTCCCTCACCTGGGGGGTGAAAGGGTCCAGGTTATGGCAGTCCCAGACGGGGTGGGGAAATACCTCTGCCTGGTGATTGTCTCCCTTCTGTATGGTTTAATGAGAGGCAATACCATTCCATGCACACTCCATTTTCCTGGCACAGATAAATGCTTACCTTGTTTTAAGTTATACAAGAGGAAGCTGCACACTGAATTTGGTGAACCTGGCTCTTACTGTTTAAGATGAGTTCTTGAACAAATGAACAAGTAAAGAGACAGACACAGTGACAAACTCACAAATATGTATATTTAAGAAAAAAACGCACTCACACACACACAAATGAATGGTCCTGCAGCACCTTAGAGACTAACAAAACATGTAGATTGTGCCCACAAAAGCTCATGATACTATGTACATGTTTTGTTAGTCCCTAATGCTATGCCTATTCAGCAGCATTATTTCAGAATAACTAATGTTATTCTGAAATATCAGAGTCTGTGTCTACCCTACAAACAGTCATTCTCACATGTCGAAATAATGTCAAGTGGGAGGACTTCTTACTCCAACTCCTGTAACCCTCCTTGTACGAGGAAAGGAAGTCGAAGGCAGAGTGCTCTCTCGGACTTCCTGCTGTGTAGACAACACCAACAGCTGAAATCAGCTATTTCAACTTTAGCTTCGCAACTGATGTAGTTCAAGTTGTGTAGCTTATTTCAGCTTTAGCCGTTGTGAGTAGACGTGCCTTAAGGTGCTGCAGGACCATTAATTGTTTTTTAAGTTTTTTCAGTTACAAACTAACATGGCTACCCCTCTTCATATATATTATATATATAAATCAGATTTTGGAATCTACAGCACTTTACATGTGTATTTGTTGATTAATCATCTATTCACTTTGTTTCCATACCTTCCTTCATCATTTGTCAGAGTAAGCTTGCAGGCAATTTGGGACAGACACCTTGTCTTTTTATACCTTTAAAGCACTATATATACTTATTTCTCTGCTAGTCTGTTCATATTATTATAATAGGGTGGTGAAGGTATAAACTGATTAAAGGAAAAAAGAGTCTCCAAACAAAACAGATTATTTAGTCAACCAGAAAAGAGGAAGATGAAATAAGTGATGATTTATCCCACCTACATATACATCTATATAATACAAACAAAAATCTGAAATGTTTCCTATTTATATTAGTTTTTTCTTTGTGCATGTGTGTTATAAAAAATTTCAGGTAATTGAAACTCTGTAGCAGTCAGGACACAACCAAATTGAACTACTTTTTTCCTCCATGAAAGCCCTTAAGTTACTATGCATTCATTCAGCTGCCTTTAAAATGAATGCACAAGCAGCAAAAACAGGCTAGATCATTCAATATGAGACTCTTAAAAAAATAAAAGCCTGTTCCATTACAAGCTATTAATTTCCTAACAATCTACAAAATTAAGTGAGAGAATCCTGACAACTATCACCACTTAAGTTACTAAAATTAAATATTAAAACAGAAAAACATTTCTGAAATAAAATGTTTAGAAAAACATGGCAAGATCACTTAGTGAGGGGCCTGACAAATACCAATTATAGACAGAAGAAACAATATTACTGGAGGATCTGTACTTTTCCACTGATTTATAACAAGTGACCAGCTGCTGTGTGCTTCCCACTGCATCTGGATTATACAGTTGCCTGGTAACTTTGTCATGTGTTCTTGCATATTTATTGCATATACATAGAGACACACAGTTTCACTATTATCTTTAACAAAAATAAAGTTGTGCGGGTGAGTGACCAATACATTTCTTAATTTGAATGTTTTTCCACAAAAATGTTTGTGTGCATCTAAACCATAGAAGCAGCAGCCTACAAAAACCAGTGTTATACTAGAAAATGTTCGCTCTCTGAATATCAAGGGATTAAATTATTGTACGACGAGTATTACCATATAGTCTGTTTTGATCTCTGAGGTAGTACCTCCGCTGATGTAAAGTTTGCAGATTTACAGCAGCTGAAGATCTCACCCTAAATTCTTAAGCTGTTCCCTTTATTGAGTGCTTTGGTTGTACTTGCTATTTTCTCTTTGTAAAAGACAGCTCTCTCAAAAACAATTGTATATAGAAGTATGCAGTTATCCAGGTAAGAAACTCAGATTTTACCTGACAAGGTGATTGAATGTACAATCTGAACCCTTTTTGTCTAAATCATGTCCAGAGACAAAGTATTCTCAGTTTGCAAGTGAAAAAAATATCCAACTGCCAACCTCACCAACTCAGCTGGGATATAGCAATCACACTGGATTTTTCCCATCTGAAACACCATTATACATGCAGCCCTTATGCTTTTCTTCTAGCTTTGTTTCTTCAGATTATATCATTAGAGACATTTGCACAAGCTTACTTACTTACTGTAGGCTCTGACAGTCAAAATCTTTCCATCTTGAGCACCATAACAAACTAAATTGGGTCTTTTTTTATTAAGATACTGTTTATTTCTAGGAGGCAACTAAAATCACAGTGAGTACAGCAAATTAAACTATAGCCAGATCTTCAGCTGCTTTAAATCAGAACAATTCCACTGAAGTCAATGCTGATTATCACTCCAAAAAAATTTGCATTCACAAACTTTCCATGTTCATATTGGGAGGCCACTCTTGAAAATTTGACCCTATTTTTGTTTTTAATATATTGACTTGCCACTGCACCACTCCCTAGGCTTGTTTGAAGTGAACAGTACTAATAGTACAGTAATATCCTTAGTATATTTTGTATTTCTAAGTTACACGTCACTGAAATAGGCAAAAAAAAGCCTGCTTTGGTTTCCAAAAAAAATTAATAAGCCATCATATCCACAGTTAAAACCAGAACTGACACAGCATATACAGACAAGGTCTAAGGCAGGGACAGTCATCTTTTCCCCTCAAAGTCCAAAATTTCTCTGTCAAGGTTCAGACTCCAGAGAGAGAAAACATAAAAAAAAAAAAAAATGAGAAGGATGTTGGGGTTGCAGTCAAAAGCATCTGGTAGTCCGTATTTGGTCCATAGTCCATCTATTCACTACTCCTATTCTAAGGTTAGGAATTAATGGTTTATAAAGTATTGACAGGGTCACTGACATGCAAATTAGGCCAGAGTACGTTAACTGGAGACATTTGCCTCAGTTGCAAGAACACTTCTAAAACACACTGTTTTGAGAGAGAGTGTTTTAAATAAAATTAGAATCATTCTCTATTAAAATTAAGAATATAGGCAAACTTTTTATTCTATTAATTGCATAAGAAATAGCAAGTTAACATCTTAATTTAAACTGCTGAAACTTTACACAGTTGAAGAAAGGATATGCATTATTATCATAAACTATTCGTGTACCAAAAGGAAAATGATCACTAAACAAGTTTTGGAATATAATCTCAGCCACCAATTGCTACAAACATAATTCAGAACCCATAAAAGATCCATACAAAGATTAAGTCTAACAATTATTGAATATACTTTATGATTTATAAGAGATTTATAGCACTGGATATTGAACTTGGGCTATCAGCATGTCAAAACAAAAAAGATATTTTGCAATTAGTCTTCTATTTATGACTTCTACTTATGATTGGATAAGGCTGAAATTGACAGATATAGTCAACATTTATTAAGGATTTGCTTTACATCTTTATCTATTAACACAACAATATACAAGAGATTTCATAAAACACTGAGAAACTTAAAATCCTGATACTCTGAATTACAGTTTAGACATTGATTGTTAGTGCTTATTTGTGAAGTTCCGCAAGAGATGTGCCAAGATTTTTTTTTTTTTTTTTTTGGCACAACATGAGACAAGAAGTATAAAGAAGCCTGTGCCTGTATTAGAAAATAATGCTGTCAGAGTTTTGCTGGCAAGAGAAGTTAAGGAACTCTACATCGGATAGCATTCGGGGTGGGTGGCGGGGAGAGAGGAGATACTAAACTGTGTGCAAACAAAATGCATTGATTTTACCTCCGAGTCCTACTTTAACTTTTTAAGACCAAAAAGTACAGTCCTAATTTCAGATTTGTATATGTTACAAATCTACAAACCTTTTGGTTCTCAGCCTTGTATTATTTGTGCAGATATTGTCCCTCTAGTGGTGAGTTGACACACTGACTCAGTGTGATTAAATGCAAGCTTTCCTGCAAAGTCATCATGTAATTTAAAAGCTTATTATTTGCACTTCCAAAATGGCAAGTGGTATAAATATTGATTCAGAAACTGTACTGCAAGACAAATAATGGGTGTGGAATATTTTAATTACTTGCATCTTTGTGCTAAAGACTCTCCAGAGCACCAAGTTTGCTCCCTTGTAACCTGTGAATATTTAACATAGAGCATATGTACAAATATCTCAAGAACAACATATGCAGATTTCAGAAAGTGATATACCAAAACACTCAGAGATAACAATATTAGCGTTTCCTCTTTACAAATAGTAAGAAACAGCAAAAAAAAGGGGGGGGAGAGGGGGGGAAATGAGGCTATAATCAATTTAGTTCTCATAACATTCAAGAGCTGCAGAGACTAGACTGCAATACATTTCACTCTATGTGCTGACAAAAGAGCAAATATTGCCTTTCCCATTCAATACTCCCTATGGATCAAGTTCTGTTAATTATACTTTCTCAAAATGTCTGATTTGCATGTTCAGTTTATAAACATATGTGTAAAATACCAAGTGCAATAAAGCCCAGGATATACAGATAACTATTAATAGTACTTGATTCTGGAACAAGATTCTATAAGGTATCACCTAACCTGCCAATATCTAAATATGGGACACAGCATGTTACCCAAACCCTAAATGAGGAGCGCACACCCAAAGTATTTCAGGCAAATTTTAAAATGCTCTGAGACTCAGTCATGTACCATAAAGAACTCTAAGTTTCCAGGGTTCTTTATTTCCAATGTAAACAATTGTCAACAATGCAAGTCCAAATTTGTGTGGAATGTAAGTAGCTTTGGGACTAAAAGTAATGATATCCTTCAAAATAAGATATTGTTCAGAGGTATGATTTGCCCTAGCCTATTTTCATTATCAAGAAGGTGAAGACTAGGATATTAACTACAGGAACAGAAAAGACTAAGAACTATGCTGGCTAGAAGCCAGTATCATTTAAAAGGAGTGAAGACAATTAACTGCTAGTAAATAAGAGACAATTTGGTGTTAAATAGCCTATAAAGAGAATGTTCTGATCAACTGAAAGCTAGCACTTTTGTAAAACAATAAATAGAATTAAATTGTTAGAAGAGGCTGGGGGGGACAAGAGCAGAGCAAGCCACTGAAGAGGTTAACACAGAAGGCCAACTGTCAGAACTGACAAAAAAATAAATTCACACTATCAAAGCAAATACTCCCTAATGTGTTTATATTGAAATAAGGCCCTTTCACATTCAAGACTCAACTAAGTTGCCCTCAGCTATCTTCAGCCAGGATCCCAGCAAGCAGTGACTTTGGTTTACTGTAGGCCAGGTCTACACTAGATCAGGAAGCTCATTTTAATGTACACAACTCCAGCTACACAGAATACATAGCTTACTTGCCTTAAGTCAACTTACTTGACTTAACTGAGCTTGGTGCGGTCCCCACAGCAGGAGGTCGACAGGAGCAAATGCTCCCATTGGCTTCGCTTACTCCTCTCAAGACCAAGAGTACCAGCATCCGTGGGGTGCCTTTTGAATTTGATTTAGCAAGTCTTAAGTTTCCTTAGTGAACTGCCACTGTTTTATTGCTCACCCAAGTACTAGGCCATTTATTCGTTAGACACGACAAGGTCAATCCCTCTATTGCAGAGATGTGCAGAACAATGGCAGGTCACTATCTTTCTTCACGATAAGAGACCAAAGGGGAAGCAGCATGAGGCATACTTTAGAACCAATCTCCATTTTTCTTGTTCACTGCACTAAAGACTGCACCATTTTCTTAATTAGAAAAGTTCTAATTAACATGGAATCATACCCAATGACCTGGAATCCCCTCTAAGTCAAGAGGAAAAGCATCCGGAATAATCTTACTGTTGAATGTTACTGTTTTGACCCATGTAAGTGAACCTAGGCAAGCTTCAGAGCCAGTTAGAGATTGTCTCAGTCTTAACTTTGTGACCACAAGTTCCTTGTTTTCTTCTTTTTTTTATTTTTAAAGATTATTATAACTGCAAACATTTTTTCTACTGCATTCAATAAAACCAAACAGTATATTTAACAAACAGAAAATGTTTTTTTTTTTTTTATTCTGAAGAGCAAATCAGTCTTCACAAGAAAGTCATGATTTTAACTTACAAAGTCACCATTAGCATGCATCTTCCCTGAACAGGAAATTTTACCTATTATCAAATATCAACTTCAAATGTAAAACAAAAACAAAAAACACTCCATTTAGATAAAAATATATAACAAGAGTCTTCATAAACGACAAATACATTTACACTTCAGGTCCTTCTCCTCCAGGAACCAGCTGTATAAGAAAAGGAAAACAGATAATTTATTGAGAGATACAGTACGAAGAAACAGATTTCAAGAGTTCAAGTGAGAATTGTCAGATATGATTTTGTACATATTTATTACTATACTCCTGAAAATATTTTTACAAAAGATGGAACTTAAATACTAGAACATAAAACAGAAGCGTACTTTTTGTAGGTAAACTGACCTATTTTGAACTAAACCAACATCTAATTCTACTCTTACAAAAAACAGCTAAGTAATCTGATAAAATGAATGACATTATAGTTTAAGATAGTGAAATGTGAAATTTCCCGAGTTTGCTAATCTGTACCTGTGAAATTTTCTATACTATTTTGTGTATTGTTTATACCATGAGTAATTAGCATTGGAGCAGATTGTTTACAAATGTTAGGAGAAAAAGCATCTCTTTTCATTTTGTATGTGTATTTCAGCCAACAAGTCACAATTGATTCGCGCGCACACACGCACACACACACACCCACCCACCAGTGGGGAATCATGCATATTTATAAATCTATGCTTAGATATGTTTCAGGAATGAGAAACTAAGGAATGTAAGAATGTTCAACACACAATAAAGGAATACCTAGACAAAAAACTGCAACTAATTTTATTATCTGTAGAATTCAGTTGGTGGGCTGTTTTTCATTATAAACTTACAATAGCTCCCTTTTAGGAGTAAAAAAACAGGACTATGTAGCACTTTAAAGACTAACAAGATGGTTTATTAGGTGATAAGCTTTTGTTAAATAGCCTATAAAGAGAATGTAATGGGTAAGGTAATTAGATTCTTTGTTCAAACCTAAGCGTAAAGTGTCGAATTTAAGCATGAATGACAGTTCAGAGGATTCTCTTTCAAGTGCAGTCTTGAAAGGCTTTTGAAGCAGGATGCAGGTAATCAAGTCGTTGAGACAATGTCCTTTCTGGTTGAAATGGCAAGAAACTGTTTTTTCTTCAAAAGCCTTTCAATACTGTTCATTTTTTTTTTAATTGTATCCTTTAGTATATATGGTTGTGACAATTTTCTTCCACTATTTGATCTGAGGAAGTGGGTCTGGCCCACGAAAGCTAATAAACCATCTTGTTAGTCTTTAAAGTGCTACATAGTTCTGGTTTTTGTTTCAGCTACACCAGACTAACACGGCTACATTTCTATAACTTAAGAATAGACGACTATGCAGTTTGCAACCTAAATAAACAGTTTTTCTGTTCTTGTTTCCTCTTGTGTTGCAGCCGCCTCAAATAAAGGTATATAGGTTCACTGCTCATTTCCAGCTGTTTGTACAAATACACTTATTTTGCAATGAGTAACTTGGTCATTTGCAAATGCAGTTAGGACAAAGAGGCAAGGCTGCGCCATGTGCTCTCTTCAGAGTGCAGTTTAAGAGCTGTTTCTTTAACTTAAACATTCAAAAAATTAAGTATAGGGACTACCATTTATCTGACTGGCATTTTTCTTTTAAAAATCTGAACAAGTAATTTTTTTTCTTTAAAGGCAGTAGGTAAAACAGATTACCATAATTAGGTATTTAGTGTGCAGCCTTCTGTCATTCAGATCCTCATCCTACTCCATTTAAATAAGTACTCAATCCCACTGACTATACTGGACCGTAGGCTTCTCTAGTGTAAAAGCAGGTCCATAGTCTCATAGCATCCAATATGAAAAATAAAATACTGGCTGCAGGATCACTCCTACAATAATAATCAATTACTGCTTCAGCTATGATTCACATGCATCAAGAGCATTATGTTTTAAGTTTACTGTATGTTAAATTAAAACTAGATTCATGCTTATATTTTCATATTTGGTTTCAAATATGCAACATGTGTAATCAAGAAATGTAAGTGTAAATTACCATATGAGATGATTATTCTGTCAGAACATGTATGTATTTAAAATTACAAATAAATATGAGTTCAATCTTACTTGAATAAATTAGTCAATAACTGAATTCCACATATTCAAAGAACCAGTGCAAAAGCAAAAAGTTGTACACATGACTTACCATTGTTATGTTATTTCCATTTAGCAAAATTTGATCTAATTTTGTGATTCTTCTTCCTTCAGGTGTGATTTCACTGATCAAACATTAAGAAGAAAAATATTTAATATATAAAGTTTACAAAATGCACGTAGACTTATGGCTAGAGCTATAGTTACACAGGACACTGTAATGGGCTGCGATTGTTACAAACAGTAACACAGAATTTAGATTAATCACAATATAATTTTGGGTTACCCTCCACATCACTCAAAACATGAAAAACTGACAATATGAGTAATGTTGCAAGGTAAGATAAATGCCTTCCTATCCTGGATTATACCTACTTTTTAACTCTTTATCTGTGGTCAAAGCAAAGAAGCAAACATTAAAACTAGTGGGAAATTCAACATGGATTTCAGATTTAAAAAAAAAAGTCAAGGGCGTCAAACTGGAAACATTTTAAAAAACAAAGAAAATGTGACAGTCAGTCTGTGAAAATGACCTCAGTAGCCAATCCCTGCCCCCAAGAAAACTTACGTCAACTAGTTAAATGTAAAATGCTAATGAAGGAAAGGCAATGTATAGCTTTCACGCGACTTAGCAGGTCAAATTTAAAGTAGGGATGTAAAGAGTTAACCAGTTACTCAGCAAGCATTGGCCTTAGCAGCATGCTTACCTGGTAATTGGTTAACTGGAAGGTAGGGCCAGTGCGAGCAGCCCTCCTGAAGCGGAGCTGATTGGAGCAATCCCCCATCCGCAATGCAACAGAGCCAGCTAGAGAGGAGCCATTCCAATCAGCCACAAGCAAGCCCCCACAGCTTTTCTTTCTACTTTACTTTTGCTATAAATGGGAAAGAAAAAGAGAAAAGCACACAAATAGCCACACACACACAAAAAACAGAAACAATACTTACAACTCTGTAACATCCTCTAATACCATGTCTGAGGTCTACTGTCAAGGAAAACAAAAAACTAAAACATCCTTGATTTAATAATTTTATATTTCCATTTTATAAAAACAATGTAACTTAATTTTTAAAATAACTTCAGCTAGTGTGTAATATTTATCCATGCAAAAAGTAGAAGCATCTGTTCTAGCTAGGGATGTTAAGAGGCAAATATTTAATTAATCCAGTAGCCAATAGAATTTTTATTGATTACTCGATTTGTTGATAGGCAGCCCGGCTCGCACCAAGTGAGACACCAAGCCCCACTGCAGCTCTTCAATTTAAAAGGTAGTAGGAGCTGGGCAGTCTGCCCCCTGGTTTCTACTGCACTTTAAATTGAAGCCATAGCAGGGTTTGGTCCTGCACCTAGCGCAAGCTGGGACTCAGCCCAACCCTGTGCACCAGGGTCCCCGCAGCGAGTCAGGACCTTCTACGCACAGGGGCCGCTAATGCAAAGCAGCATGTCTGTGGCCAGGTAACCCCCCCTACCCCTGATAGAGACAGCACCGGCTCCTGCTCCTCCCTTCCCCATCTTGCTGCCTATGTTCTAATAAACATAGAAGCTTCAGGGGGTAGCCAAGAGTCTGTACAGGTAAACTGAAAAAACAACAGATAGTCTGGTAGCACTTTATAGACTAATAAAACATGTAGATGGTATCATGAGCTTTCGTGGGCACAGCCCACTTCTTCAGATGACCGGAGTGTTGGATGTCTAGGACCAAAATAAATAGGGGAGACCAGGGGGGTGGGGTGTGGAAGAAAGGAAAAAATGGGAGGGGGAAGGAAGACAAGAAAAGGCTTATAAAGTAGTTGACTACTCCCTTACATCCCTAATTCTAGCTACCGGATATCCAAACAGCTAAATAATTAAGCTTACTTTAAAAAGAAAAGTGGGAATATTTGCCATTTACATTTTAAAAAGATACTGACAAAGTCATCAAATCCTAGGAGTGTGCCAACTATTTCTTTATCACTCTTCATCACAATATGAATACGTGAACCTATACATTTGTCCACAAGCTCTGCAAATAAGAAAATATTTTATGTAAGATTACATACAACTTAAAACATATATTAAGTGGTCATCTTTTTAACACATTCCCTTTAAAGAACATGGTAAACCTGTACACTTTCAAAACGACTGCTCAGAACACTTACAAAAATCTTCTAGTCCCATACCCATAGAAGAGTTAAGCCAGCCTTGGGATGAGCCCTGAACCGCAGCACCCCCTCTTCTCTCCTTTCCCGCCTCCATGGGACTAGAGCTCGAGGGGAGTGAAGCTAGTGTCTTTTTTCCCCTCCTTCTCAGTTCGGGGCCAGGTCAATGAGAGTTTCATTTATTTAGTTTCTCACTTGTGTAGCCCCCCCAACCGATTTTTCTAAGAGTCCCTCCCCCCCCTCTCGTTTCAGGGGCAGGCCAGGCCCAAGCCACCTAAAAAAAAAAGTGAGACAAGAGATGCCTGTTACTTGTCCATTAACGGAACCCTGCAATCAGAGTCCCAGGCAGGACCCTACTCACATCACGGGGCGTGCCCCGCACAAAACAAGACTCTGATGCCCGGCACCCCCCGCCACAGGCGCAGGGCAGAGCTGGGCACGGCTGT